ACCCCCACCCGCCGCCGCCGCCACGTGTACCGAGCGCCTGCAAGTGCTGCCTGGGAGGCTTTCAAAGTCAACCAAGGAGAAAGACTTGCTCATTTCTTTATCCTCCCTACCCGCTCCACCGAACGAATCCACTGCGAACGCTAGATCGGTGAATCAAAACCGAGCACCGCCAAAGAAAGCGGAGAGTCGTGGGATCGACGAAGTTAATACATTGGCAGGGCCGGATATACCTACAAGCAATCATACACAAGCAATTGCTTGGGGACCCACCTCCATGGGCAGCAACGCGTCACAGGAAAAAATTTATCACACTGAAAAAGTTATATAATTGTCGTCAGAAAGTTATGTTCAATTCCATCAGCATTAGATTAATTTTCGTTTGCGCGTGTACAAAATGATATATTACAGATATGGATTTGCAATAAATTTGGAAGATATTGTTTTGGGAGGGGGGCCCAAACACAATTTTGTGCTTGGGACTCCGGAGTGCCTGCCTGCCCTCCGCGTCGGACAGGGGCTTTCGCCAATTTGGAAAGAATTCTACGTCGTGTTTAGAAGCTAATGTTGTCATTTACAACGTACAGACGGACGAACAGAAGTTTTGAAAGATCTATTTGACCCGCAGCACTACATAACATTCTCTGCACTCCTATTACTCCGTATATGCGTACGTATTAGAGAAAGTAATTTGTGGTTCTACAAAGTGTCACAGATTTTCTCGTACCAGATTTCTAATTTCTTAGTCTGTCCTTGCCACACCCTTTTGCCAGTGGCCATCTGTCGGCGCCCGAAGTACTTTTTTTAACTTTCTTTTTTTTCAGAATAGTAATAGTAAAATCAAAATATTACTTTAAGGATATTAAAGAAGAGTAAATCCTCGACTTAAATTGCAATTTTCATTGAAAACTTTGGAGTAGTTTTAAGAAAATGGCATTTAGACGGTACTGAAAACGCGATATTTGAAGGTCTTTTTCACAGAAAATTTAAGAGTTTTCGAAACACTTCATTGGAAGTCATTTGAAGCACTTTCACTCACAAATGCGATAGTGTTTACAAATCTCTGGAAATGTGCATAATAACAACGTGAGATATGTTAAATTGTTATATTTGTGTAATTTTTGAAGAAAAAATATCACAAAATTAATTTTGTGTCATCGTAAACAGAGTAATTACTTTAACTTACTTTAACTTTAACAGTGCATTAGCAGTAGGAGAAGTTTGAAGAAAAAAACTGGAGACGTTTTTGAGAAAATGGCGTTTAACATTCTGAAAAAGCCCAACTTTTTAATTTTTCTCATTTTCACAAAAAACTTCACTTTTCGAGAAAGTTTATTCATCATTTAAAGCACGTGTGCTCATCAATGCAATAATGCGAACAAATCGACTCTTGTATATATTAATGACGAGAGAGATATAAAAAAAAATCAATGTAGGAGTTTCACATAGAGGTGAATAGTTTATATAAAAAATATATATATTGCAACCGAACACACTGTCAAAATGGTCGGGGCGCGCCGTGCATTTAACAACTGTTTCGATTAGGGGTTGTCAACCCTAAGTGAGCGCAGATCAGCGTAGGCTATACCTCGAGTGCTCGACGGATTACTGCCGATTCACACTCAGCCCTGTCGAGTTCATTTAATCTGGTTTCATTGCAAATGATCCGCTTGGAAATGCGGATTTGTAGGAACATGGGTAACTTCACAACAAAATGATGGGACCAAAATTTGAGTTTCTAAAGATATCAAAAACATATATTCTCCACACACACACACACACACACACACACACACACACACAAATATACACAATAACATAACGCTGAGGAGTATGAAACCTAAGCACGCAGATCTCGAGTCCACAAGTGACGCAGGACGCTTACGCCACAACCAAAAAACTAATGATTATCTTTAAACTTGCTTTAAATTTACTTCACAATAACAGTATGCTTCTATGCTACCAACCGGTGCAACTTCTAAAGAATTTTAAACTTAATAACTTTGATCTAAGATTACTCTCTTAATTGTGCAGAAAGTTAAATACGCGCTCATTAATAATTTCTATGCGCTCATTATTAATTTCTATTTGTTGTGAGACGGAATCTTGAAATTTACAAACAAAGGCATACCCCTTTCCAATTGACTTGTGTCTCGAGGGAATTGAATCGCTCACTAATGGCCTTGTTAAAGTTTCTGGTTTGTGACCTAGCTTCGCCGTTAAATTTATTTACACGTTTGCTTATTGCTTCTGTCTTGGCCTGCACGGATACTCACTCTCCTGCGACTGACGTGGGCGGAAGAACTTCGCTGGCGTCGCCTTCTAAGCATCGACACCCCGACTAAGCAGAAACTGGTAGCGCTTCCTCTCGTGGGAATTTTCCAACGTCCCAAAACATCGTTGCTCTGTTCTCGCGTAACCTTACAACAGAAACTTACTCTCATGGACATTTTTAACAGCAGGGGTTCCGCAACGGACCACCAGCCTTCCGCCCGCTGCTTCCCTCGTTTTCGGCCTTTCGACCAATGGTCATTCGCAATCCCTTATCTGACTATCATTTTCTTGTTGGCCCGCGGCGGTTCCACCTCGCTTGACCGCCGCGCACCTAAGATCGTAACGTCACCACCGCGCCACGTTTAAATCCGCGGGTATGGACCAATGTCACGAATTCTTATTTTGGGGCCCTGCATCTGAGCTCGGCTCAATATTTAAATGCTGCTTTCTACCTTAATTCGTAATAGTGTGAGGTAAGAGAAAGGAGGGAATCTGGAGCTTGTGCTGAAATGCACTGCAGCAAGACTTGTGCACCTGCATACATCATATCTGACTGGGCATACACGATTGTAATTGTTTATGTGACTCAAGAAACATTATTATTATTATTATTATTATTATTATTATTATTATTATTATTATTATTATTATTATTATTGTTATTATTTATATGAACAATTTTTCGAAAATATTAGTAGTATTTAGTATTTTTCAAGCAATATTGCATGCAATATGTGCTACATTAAAAATTATTTAAAATAATATATTCTCAAAAAAAACTCCAATTTTTTTCTTTGTACGTTTGACATGGATAGTGATAAATGTATTCTATAAGATGGCATCTATGCCATTCTGCTCTATTTTCTTGTTGTTGTTTTTTTGTTTGTTTGTTTTTTTTCAACAATTACAAAAATATCATTTTTTTCACTTTTATCTCATGTAGTTAATATTCTCATTACCGGCAATTTATTTACATTACTGCAGTGCTTTAAATGATGTTTTATAAAGTTTCTCAAAAAACCCAAAAGATTCTGGGAAAATGAGCTCAAAATTCTGCAGTTTCAGAAACGCTCAAATGCCATTTTTTCAAAATCAGCTCCAAATTTTTTCTACAAATTTTTTGTATGGATAGTGCTAATTTCACTGTATAAGATGACATAATAACCAATTTGCTTTATTCTTTATTTTTTACAAAAATTTACCTTTATATCTCTCACCTTTTAATATGCTTATTCCCAGCGGTTTGCAGTAATATTTCAGTTCTACTATTGAGAAACCGAAAAATTGAGAAAATTTTTAATAATATAAATGTATATAGTTGCTAATTTATGTGTTTCATGTGTATGTTTGAACAAGATGCATTTGTTGATGTTATTATGAGTCTGTACTTTTAAAGTAATGCATGAATTGGGTTTTTAGAATTAGGAGTATTTGAAATTCATTGTAAATACCAGAAACTCTTGGGTATCTGAATAGTTTCGGGAGTATCTCTTTGGGCCTCTTAGGAATTTGAGAAGACTAATTTGTAATAATACTGTTTTCTTAGGAAGTACTTCAAATTTAATGGAACATACAATATCCATTCCTCGCTTCTATTTAGTCCAATAATAAATCATTTCAATTTCTTTTTTTAATTAATTAGTTCCACCACTTAATTCTATCAGTTAGTCTTCACTTGAGTTAGACTATGATCTTCATCAAAGGTAAAATTTAGGAGTTAAAAATAAAAATTGATACGCCTCATTACTTGCATAGTGTACTCTAAAGAGTGAAGCTATTTACACCAATTAAAATTATCTTATCTTCATGATATAATATTTTTTAAAGATAAACATGTTTTAGGAGTTGCAATGCAAGACATTTAATGAAAAAATAATATGTTTGAAAAGAAAACTTCAATGGTTAAAGTTACACAAATGTTTGCATGAAGAAATATACATTTACAATTATAGTTCTAAACATTTTTCAAAAATAGATCCAAATTTTTCTATAATTTTGTAAATGAACAGGATCCAATAGCATTCATTTTAATGTAAAGCCCCATTTCATGGAAATATATGAAATTTATAAAATTATAACATACCATAATATTTTCATTTCTCCTGTAAGGATCAATACTTCATCTGAAAATTTAGTTTTTAATTTACTGAATCTAAAAAAATATATGAGCTTTAATTAAAATAAAATAAATTTTTTCAAAATCTTGTAAAATATTCCTGTAAAATATTTCAAAACTGCATATTAATCCTATATTAACCCTGCATTGACCAACATTTTTTTCCAAAATGTGCTGTACCAAGGGAGGGTTAAAATATGTTCACCATCAATACGATGTTATAGGCTTTATTTAGATAAACAGTTTCATATGTATCTTTATTTTCACTTGCCTTCTAATTACAGATGTCATTTGCTGCCAATTCTCTTCAAAATTATCATCTAATTCACATTACAAATCGGATTCTGATACTTATTGACTCATTTTGCTATGGCATCCTGCCATGAGGAAAGACTGATCAATACTACTTACTAAAAGAACTGCTTTGAAATATTTCACTGTATTCAACAACGGAAAATAAATTTGATTTGTAAAAAGAGCCACATTGTCGAGGAATAATTCTGTTTCCCATGAAAACGTTGGTTACAAGTTAGACAAAGGGAGAGACATTTAGTGTCCACCTCATGTTTCTGACTTTATGATTTTTATTGTGACAGTTACTAACTTGGCCATCATTAACAATTCATAAAATTTATTTCATTTCTTGCAGAAATTCAGAATCTAGCAGTTACAGTATTAATTCCAATACATGTATACAAACTGAAAAACAATAAATAAAAACCATACTCTACACACAAGGCTAAGTAATATTAGCAGCCTTCAAAGATGATTTATAAAGAGGAGTCTTCAAACTGAACCCAATTAACATGGACTATGACATGAAATTTTCAATAGTAAAAATAAAACCAATGGGCTTCAAAGGAAAAGAACACTGAAGAACCAAAATAGTAATAGAAGATAAAACAATCAAACAAGTGACAACCTTCACATAGCTAGGAAATACAATAGTTTCATGGGAAGAAGTAATAGATACACAATTGGAAAGATACAATTGAATGAATTGAACAACAAAAAGTAAATTTCAAAACATAACTGAAGAAACAAAAATCAGACTCCATAACATTGCAGCAAAATTAAAACTATTATATGGAATCATAATGTGAATCTTAAAGGAAAAAGACTGGAGTGGATTAGAAGCTGCCTAGATAAGATACTTGAGATCACTAATAGAAGTGTAAAGAAATGAAAGAATAGGCTTGAGAAATAAGAAAAAGACTAAAAATGAAAAACATAGTAAATGGAATAGAAAGATACCAAAGGAAATGACAAGATCACATAACAAGAATGAAACCAGATTCCCAAAACAGATCCTTAAATACAGACTAAGAGGAAAAAGAGAACCAGGCAGGCCAAGATAAAAATTGAAGGACCAGGAACACTTCAGCAGTGACTAAAGAAATACTGGATCACATGAACTAGTACTAAACCTTATTAGTCGATGCTGGTGATGATGATGATGATGATGATGATGATGATGATTATTAATATTAATAGTAGGCTTATATTAATTAGATTTTGAAACTAAATTTCAAATGTTAATTTTTATGAATAATATAGCACATGCTTTCATGAAGTGCCTTCTTATCAAATTGCTTCAAGAACACACCCATGTAGAATTCCCAATAACTTTCAAGTCTGCCTTCTGAACCCATTGAACATAGAATTGTTGCCAGAACATTGCCTAAAAGCTTGCCCAGTTTTAAATATTTCAAAGCGAGTAATCATTTTCTTCAAAAACCATTAATTCTAGAGAAAATATAGAACAAAATCTAGAGGATTCTTCAATACTGATAGAACTGTAGTTTTCATTATGACAATATTGATATTTGAATAAATTTAGTTTGAACAAGAAATATTCAAACAAAATTTGTTCCCATATTTGTAGGGAACAGAAAATGTAGCATGAGTCTTGAGAACTACTAATAGAAAATAAACTCAAATAAAATTCTACAAAAGCAGCAGTACCAGAGTACAGTGGTACCAGAACTTCTCTATGGTTCAGAATCATGGGTTATTCATAACAAAGACATGTCAAGAGTACAGCTGAGATAAGCTTCTTGAGATCTGTTAAACGCTGCATTAGAGTCAATAGAATAAGAAATACTGACATGAAAAGTAAACTCAATATCTGCTCACTAACTACTCGAATAGAAGAAAATAAAATGAAGTAGAAAGAACACATAGAAAGAATGACCAATTACCATGAGAAGCAATGAAATATAGGCTCTGAGGAAGAAGAAATCCACTTTGCCCAAGAAGAACATGGACTGACAGGCCGGAACATGCTTTGCTCTAATCCTTGAAGGCAGAAGAAGATTTTGTGAAGAAGAAGAAAGGTAAATGACAATTGCTTTATTGAAATAAACTTTTCACATTGAAGATGGATTAAATGCAATTTTGTAACAAAAATCTTTTAAAATGTATCAAACTTAGGGGATAAATATTTACAGTTGTCTCTGCTGAAATACCTTTATCTGTAATGTAAAAGTTTCTGGATTCATTTTTGAATTATAAAGAACTTTTTTTTTTGCATCAGTGAACTCTATTACATCCCCACTGGCCATGATTTCTTTAGAGGTCATTTTCCTGGAATTTGTGTTTACAAATTGGTTTCCCTAAAAACTTTTTAACTCTTGTTTGGATCTAGTTCTAATTTTAAGAAAAATCATATGCTGCAGTATCTATAAATTACTGAATACTAGAATAAATTTTTGACTGTAATATTTTCGTATTAAGTGCTACTTTTGGTTCAACTGTAAGCAAAATGAATTAAAATTTTGAGATTGTTTGGAGAATCATTTAATAGCTTGCTGAGTGTAAATCCATTATCCTAAAACACATTCATTATGCAATAAGCAAGCAAAGAACTGCAGTTGTCAGTTCAAATCCTGTGTAAGGCATGAATATTATCCAATAGTAATTGTGGCAAACCGACTAACACATAACCTGTTTTGCTTTTATTAATTCATTATATAAGGGACAAAAAACAGGTCTTTGACACTAGGTCTCTAGCATTCTGTTGGTGATTGCCATTAAAAAAATAGGCTGGAAATCAACTCAAAAACTGACAATATCTATGCATAATTCTTGAATATTTTTTTTATTATGATTTCATGTGTTAACAGGATGCAATAACTACACCATACTCATTCAAATGCCTTGAGAACTTATGTCGGGTTGCCATCTGAACGCCTGTGATTCATAGATTTTCAATCGGTTGGGGGTCACAAACATTAAGTCAAAAATGTTTTGTTTTTAAATTATACTGTTAATTATATTGTCTATAAATTAATTAAAAAGAAGATATTATTTCTTACATTAAATTAATTAATTTTTGTTATTGAGAAACACTGCATATCTTTTAGTCTGCTAGACAATATAATCACAATAATGACTTAGCGGTGCAACAGAATGTCACAGACTTTCTCATACTACTTAGTTTTTTAATTTCTTTGGTCAGGGTTAGCTTTTTGATTTAGCCTCACCCTCTTCCCAGCTGCCATCTACCGCTGCCCAAACTACGTTTTTTCACATTTGCTTAATATTTCAGCCCCCTAATGGTAGAACTGACACAAGACTTTAAGAATATTGTAGAAGAGCAAAACTCTGTTATATATGGAAATTTTCATTGAAAAATTGGGAGCTGTTTTTGAGAAAATGTTTGAGTGTTTCTGAAAATTAGAATTTTGAAGCTCATTTTCACCCAAAAGTTTTGAGTTTTCGAGAAACTTCATAAGAAATTATTTTAAGTAGTTGAACTCAAAAAATGCAATAATGTATACAAATTCCTAGTGATGTAAATATCAATGACATGGTCAATATTTCAAAAAAATTACATTTGAGTTAAAAAAACACTTCAAAGTAGCATTGATGTTATATTGTTAAGTCAATTTAGCACTACTCTTTCTAAATATTTAAAGAAAAGATTTGGATTAGTTTTTTAGAAAATGGTGTTTGAGCGTTTCTGAAATTGTGGAATTTTGATCTCATTTTCACAGAAAACTTTTACTGTGTTAATAAAGTAACAAAAAAATTTATAACAAATTTCTAACAAAAAAAATTAAGTCATTTTTGAGAAAATTTTGAAAATGTCCAAGGGGCTTCATGTAAAGTACCCCCAAATATTAATGAAGGTTATTCAAAATCACAGAGCTTTGAGTGGAATCAGACAGGTCAGAGAGTATTTAGTTTAGAAAAAAATCTATATGTAGTTTAGGCACTAGTGTTGTTCACAGATGACAGATAGATGTATAGACATTTTGAAAACAATCACTTGTTTAATATCAGGGGATGCCTACTGGATTTCCTTTCAAATCTCAAAATCGATTTTCCACAGTTTTTCATTACTTTCTCAATACTTTGATATACTCCGTATGTATGTACATAAGCAAGAAATTAAAAATAAATATTTTTTAAAGTTTCATTACATTATTTTTCTTTAATCTCTTTGGTAAAATCAATTTCAAGGGTATTTTTTATTTGTTATAACTTTTCGTAAGAACTCAATTTGTGATGGCTGTCAAAAAATTTTGAAAAATTCTCTAACTTGTATTCAAATTGATTAATTGCTCATATAACCCTGAGATTTCCCATTAACCCAGAGCTCAGGCATTACTTTTGAAACCCAGACACTCTGGGTCAACCTAAAGAGGTGACTACTCTAGACATATATGTGCAGAACATTCTTAACAAATTGTAAAACATGAAGAAAAAATAACAATGAATACTTTATTTAGAGTATTTTATTTGAATTAACAATAAATATTCACAAAACAATTATCTTACAAACAATATCAAATCACTAAACAATTTCTACAAAAATAAGACTATTCTCAACACTGATGTTAAAACATCAAAATTTGAAAATGGAAACCCAAGAAGGCACTATTCTAAGCCTTGGAGAATGAAAAATTCTATACAAAATGAAAGAAGAACAAGTGTAAGAGATTCACTCTACATGTATGAGCACAAAATCGTAAAAGTACTCTTATATTAGTTTTGTATACACAAGGCTTTCTGGATACATTTTGGTTTCCCCAAATTTCTCTCAATTCCATGTAAGCAATATGCAAATATCACAGAAAAACTTTGAAGCCTAGTGGAAGTCCTGCAACTGATATGTTTGGATTCTTAAGGCATAATTTGTATGATATGTGATTGGCAGCATATTGCACATAAGCTTCAAATGTGCCTTTATAACTTTCTGTGTGTCAGCAATGTTATTTACATTCATTTACAGAAAAAACATTGAGAAAGCACACAGAAAATTTATAACATAAGAACACAACATGACAGATAGTCACAATATATCTTGTACTGGTTAATTTCGCACAGAAAGTTGCAGCATATTTTAGAAACAATTCTTATAAAATATTAATGGGAAAGTGTTAAGTTTTAATTTATTTTAGATGATTTCTATTTTATAACAATATCCTTTTGTTCTAATATCTATAACAAAGTTCTTATTTACATTCATCCACTTTTTTAATTCTTATGAGCATAGTATTGAAGTACCGTAAAAACAGATGACTTTGGACATTTTAAAACTTCTCAAAGTTATCTATGAGATTATGGTCTTCACACAAAGAATAAATGTATAAAAGAAATAAAAGTTACATCGATTCTCTGCACACACAAAAAAATTAAAAACCCTCTGCCCAAAGTCACTCATCAAAGTAATGTGACTTTGGACACTACTTCCTAGAGATCCCAAGAAAGTTTTCAACAAGGATGGCTTAGAACGCACATACCAGTTCATTTTTGTAACATTAAAAAAAAAGGAGAGAACAATCTACATTTCAATACCATCTCTACCTTAGGAATCATAAATATAAATAACTTTGAATATAAACTGAAATGAAATACAAAGATCTTTCCTGTTTTTATTTCAGGGCATAAAAAAAAAATTAAAAAAAAAACTGAACTGGAGCTAAATGTTCATGATATAAATGGAAAGAATTATCTCCCACACATTACAAATGAAGTTGAACAATCCATGCATGACAAATCAACATAACATAATCATAATGGTCAATGATTTTTTATGCTTGTCTCATAAAAGAACACTGACTCTTAACACTAGTTCACTGATTTTTTTCTTGAAGACTAACTTTTCTCCTTAATACTTTTCTTTTTTATTTTCTGTTCCTGAATTTTTAATATCACCAATTACAAAATTATTCTTATTTAACCTTGTAATACACATTTTCATTTTCTCAATTTCCTTCTGCTGCCATCTGGCAAATTACATTGTAATTTCACTTAATTTTACATCTACGATCAGATATGGACCTTGCAGGTTGGCTCTGGACAGAATCCAAAGCCACCCACCAAGGAACACAGCAAAGAACAAATTTGTGGATAAAGTTTATCACAATGAACAAATTACATGTTATTAATAACAATCTAAATAAACATGTAATCAACAAATAATAATAATAATAATAATAATAATTTTTAATTAAACTATTACCAATAGCAGACATTTTCGTCCCCTTAAATTTTGCTCTCAAACTCCAAATTTTGAAACTGTATTAAGTACTACACCAATACGACACCAATGTACTACCAAACCAAGTGATAACAAATGCTATGAAATGTTTTTGAAATTAACATAAAAGCAGTACAAACTGAGGAAGACCATCCAATAAAATCACACAAATGATCCAAAGTCACCTTGCTGTCCAAAGAGATCAGCTCGCTTTTACGGTACTCTATGGTTATTGTTTATAGGTAGCAATTTTCAGGAATTATATCAAACTTCCTACAGAAAAGGCCAACATTTTTTAAATTTGTTTCAACACAGCAAGTAAAACTGTGTTGCATATGTGACAATAATCTCACTTCAATGCAATAACTTTTACAGCACAAAATTCAATACATAATTAATGTTGTAAAAGTACTGTCAAATCTTATTAATATGTCAAACATTAAAACACGTGTATGCTAGTGTTCTATAATAAATTACATACCTCCAGTCTTATGTTTTCTCTAAATATTTATCAATGGACGGATAAATAATACATTTGAAGAATTACTAATCTGAATTTCTATGCCAAAATCTTATTAACCTGCTCAACTATAAAAAGTTATTGCACATTATATTTCATCTTCTGAAGTAATACAATAAATACACTTTTTTATTTTACTATTTTAATACAGAGGAAGAATCATGAATGCTTTTTGATACTTGGAAGAAATTTGGAAGTGTGGAAGAAGTGTTCTCTTTCTACGTTTTCTCAAAAAGCAAGTTCAGAAAGAAGATTTAAGATATAGCACATCCTTCATGCTTTCTTTTTAAATGAAAGGTCTACTTATGATGGAATTAAAAATAGACCTACAGCTTGAATTTTATTTAATATCAATATTAGCAAATAATCACAAATGCTGTAATTAATAATCTTATTCCTTTTCAGTGTAACTCACTAATATTTACAGAAACATGCCTTTATGGAATAAACTAGCAATAAACTATTTTATTTATTTTCTCCTAACATTCAGTTCAGTACCTGATCCAAAAATTATTCTTTAAGTCATTACTGAAATATGCAAGTTCACAAAATCTTCATTTATACATGGAAGAATTTCTGTCCGAGTTAGCACGAATAAAAACACAATTTCGTGAACTTCACATATTTACACAGACCTTTACTGCCTCTAATATGGATACTAGAGAAATAATGGGACCTTAATGTGTCCCCATAATAAGTAGCTATTCCTGTCACATTACAAGGAGGACAAAACAAATAGCTTAAAAGTGCAAAACATCAATAGTTTGAAAGCCTTTGAAATATAAAACTATCAATTCCTTTATATTTGCCCACAATAGGAGTGGTTATGAAGCAATAATTGGAAGCAGTATATCAATTCCTACAACATTCCTTAAAGAAAAATTCAAAACACTGACCTAGATGTCATTCAAAACTAAAAATCAATCAGTTATATTTCTTACATTATAAGTGGCATTAAATTTAAGGGCAAAAGAAGAAATTATAAGATCTAAAAAGAAAAAAATAATTAAAATTCAGGTACAAAACATGGTAATAACGGAATAATAATACAACATTAACTTACTTCAACATATTTCATTTCCGGTAGATGCAGAAAATCATTTTAAAAAAAAGAAAAGCATATTAGAAAAATCCATACAGAAACGGAATATACAAAAATCTCTTAAAAAAGGAATTGTCTTTTTGAGGTATTTTCATTCCACGAAAATGCAATCAATAAGTTTTTTTATTGTATAAAACTATGAGAGGAAAAAAGGCCATCAGTAAGTAGTAGTAGTAATAGTAGTTGTCACTATCAAAATGATGGTGAAACACTATCAAAATCTTGTAGCAACAGTATCACAAAAAGATCATAAAAAGTATTTTTTATGAGAAAGGCTTTAGCACATCTTTACAGATATAATAAGATTTATATTTAAAAAAGATTCATTTTATTAAAAACAAAACAATGAATTTCTTAATGAATCCCATCAAAATATTATGAATTAATAACCTGAAAACATTTTAATCTTCATACCATACCATTTTGAGTTTCTATGCACCACTCTCAGTAATGTAACAAAATGATTGCAGGCTCACCTGCAAAATTTTTATCTGGGCCTCCTTCATAAAAGTGTTCAGCAAACACATATAGGGTTAATAACTTAAATAATAAAAAATATCCCCTAAGACTAGGTCATCTTTTACCCAAGCCTGCCTGCATTGCAAGCCCAAACGTTACGCCACTGACCACTCTAAAAAGGAACAAAGCTGTGCAAGAAATTTTAGTTTCAGATAGTTGTCCATGCAATTAGGTATGCAGTCAACTAACCAAAATAAATTCCAGGAAAGATTTAAAATTCTGAAAAAATTTACAAGTTTAAAAGGTGAAAACAAATGCAAATTAAGCATTTATAAAGAGAAAAGTTCCCAAAGGGTTTGCAAAATTTTAGGAAGTTCCCCCAGAGATTTACAGAAGATAAAAAAAGTGTCATGTGCATTTCTCACTTTGGTGCACAATTCATTAGGCTTTGTTTTTTCTTATAAAACAACATTGAATACACTAAGAGAACAAGGACAAGAGAGTAAAAGCTGTAGAAGAAAGAAAGAAACTATAATAAAAAAAGAATTCTTGAAAATAATAAAAGATGTATTTAAAAAGAGAAACTCAGTAAAAGAAGTGGAGGAATCAAAAATACTATAGATATTTAAGCATTTAAATAAGATGGCTTCAATAAAGCCAGATCCAGCAGAAGGTAAATTTCAGTTCTCAGCCCCCCTGTAAATATTATTTTGATACAAATCTGTGGATAAAATAAAGCATAAAAGTACTTAGTGAGAAAAATAGATATATTAACACTGCAAAGAAAAACATTAATAACATTTAAAAGAAGGAAAAAGTCATTCACAATGTTAACAGCAAATGAATAACAACAACAAAACTAAACAAAGACAAAAAATGGAAAAATAGTTATTGAGTGTGTCCTCAGGGAAGTTGTACTCAAAATTCGAATTTTGTTGTATCAAAACATCAAGCCATGTAATTGATATCAAGTCAAATCAATGTATTACGCATTATTGCAAACTTCGCATTATTCTATTGCAAAGTTTTGCAACATTACAACACCTGACCCAAAAACTTAACAAGAAACCCAAAAATAGTGAAAATTGGATTCCTCCTACTTTTTCCTCAAATTGCAAATGGAATTTTCAAACATTCCATATAGGTAACTCTGAAAGCATTCTCTATTTTCCAACAGATTACCTAGTATACAAGTTCAATCACACTTAATATCACACAATTTTTATCCATCTTAATGACTTCACAGTTCCATGCAAATTAATAAAAATGCAAATAGTATAGAAAAAATAGTAAATTTAAAAAAATATTACTCTAAAATATAAACTGCAATGAAAGTTTTTAGGCAAAAAAAACCAACAAATTCAACCATTTTCTCAATGTAATTTACATAACCATATAATAATTTATTCCAACTGCTAATGGCTTTTTGTCCTCTATTACATACCAAACTGGTACATTCCCTAAAGAGCTACTCATCTTAGGCTATATTGCATCTAGAATATATAAATAACAGTAGTGTATTCCTTACAAGTAATTGCAAACCATCAAACCAGATGATATAAGCAGAATTACTCCAAGAAATTCTTTCTGAAGTTCAGCATCAATTTTTCTGAAGCGACCTCGAAGCAACAGCAAAGGGAGCACCACATGCAGGAGGTCAGGAATCATTAGCCCTAAATCACGGGCCACCTGCAAATGAAGAACAAAATAAGATCATTTGAACCAGTATTTTTATTGTATCATGTTTTATAAACACTAATATTTTGACTTTTATATTATAACAAACACATTTCAAAACATGCATACTAAATACGACAACTGTACTCTTAAATATCAATCATCATAATTTTCGCACATCAACTCAATACAGCGTAATTTATTAAACTGCAAAACCTTCTTCAAATATCAGCACTGCATTTCAATTGACATGCAAACGTGCATTTTTTACTGAAAAAATCATGCACCTCTCCAAACAATTTCTAGAAATTTAATCAAATAACATGTACCTCTCTTTTATTGTTGCTAATAAGAATGCAAACATAATATTATTTCATACATGAATATTAATATATGCAAAAATAGAATTTAAGTAATATTTTTAAGTTTTTACTATAATGTAAAAATCATAATGTTAACGCGAGAAATTTGTTTTAATAGTTTGGTTTATAAAAATGAATGATTGATAGGTCTATTTTTGAAAATGAGAACTACTTTCATTTTCTCTAGAAGCAAATTGTTCAACACAAATGAAAGTGGTTCAAGAAGAGGTATTAATTAGAACCAACGAATAAAGTGAAACTTGAAATTTGAAGATGACAATTAAATGTAATGAAACAAGCACAATATTATCTCAAAATGCTCACGAAATGTTCCATTAAGTTTAGACATACAATGCACGATATATTTTGCGCTCAAATATTTTTAACTGTTAAAATTATTAGCAAGTTCGGAAAAACTTGTAAGTTCAGTGGTAATAATGAGTAATCGTCCAGGTGCATTAGTGCATCAATGCATGTCAGGCCTATTTCTTACCAGATACCTGCACATTATGGTTGTGAGATTCCTCAAGTTTTGAGGAGATAGTACTTATCATGTAAGTAAGATGTTACATCAACATATTGGACCACATTTTTCTCATCAAAGTCTATACTAATAACATAATAATAACTGGGTAATGTGTGACAGTTGCCACCTGCCAAAATTTTCCAGTAACATGGAACAGTACTGGGAATTACTTTGGATAATGGTATCTGAGGGCACCAGGAACTGCTGCAAAAGGTCATGAAAAGAATAATAATGGAAAATAAGGATACATTTGGAATATAATCATTAAAACAAAGGAGTTCATTTTATAACAGATGGATGCATATCACGTTTGTAATCTGGGAAGTAAATATCAAGAATCAGCTTATATGAGCTGCTGTAAAAGCCGATTTCTTATTGATAAATTTAAGAAGAAAATCGAAGAACTGTTGAAAACTAATTAACAAATTAAAAATACAATTCCTTATTGTATATCAAAAACCTTAGAACACTACTCAAATTTTCATTTATTTCAAAATGATTAAATTGATTTAAGAAATATGATACTCATCTGTATTTTAAAAACATAGATATTGTCATCAATTAATATATCACATTTTCTAAAATTTATCTAATTTGTTTTTGGGCAATTTATGTTCCCACCTTCTCTAAAACAGATAATTTTAAAAATATTGTTTTCTTTGCTTTTTGAAAGAAATTTCTAAATTATAACACAAATAAAATAATTTATACTAAAATGCAATTACTTGATGAGTGTATCCTTTGCCGTGAATTACATTGCTGACAAAGTTGTCCCAACTGGACCCTATGACATGCATCATACCAATTCCTGCAATACCAATAGCTTTTCTTAGGGTAACAGGATTCCGTTTATCTGCCAACTGAACGACAAGAACAGTTGATGCCAATTCCGTGACGGTGTAAAAAAGTTGGTGGTTCCACTACAAAAATCAAGAAAAATTCAAACATAATCATGTGAACACAGCAGAAGCACGTTTAAATTCAGAAAACGTGTTAGGCATTTCACCTGATGATAGAAGTCGTCATTCCAGTAGTTCACATAGGCCCACCAAGAATAATAATGAGAGTAAAAAACACTCAGAAATAGTAAGAGCATTGAATATCGCAAATTGAATTGTAATGCAAGTGTAACAAGGTGACGAATACTCTCATAAAGAGCAATTATACACATCACGGTCCATATCCAAATTTTCATGGAGTTTCGAGTTGCATTGAAGTAGAAGTGTTTGTAAGATGCTACGCCTGACTCATAAGGACCTTGAACAAACACATAGTCATACAATATTATTATAGAGGTGCGAGTATCACATGATCATTACAGAAAATGTATTCAGAACTTATATCAAAATAGGAGCTTAGGATGAATTGTTTATATTCCAATGCAAATGAAATGGAATTTTGATAATGTTAATAAGTCTGGAAATAAATAATTTTTTCTTATATGGTCAGGAATATTTATAAAATATGTTTATGAAAATTATACATTTAAAAATACAATTCCTTATTGTATACTGAAAAGCCTAAAGCACTAGTCAAGGTACACTTTATACACCAGTACTCCTTAAGTGAATTAAGCGAACTTTCTCTCAACTCAGAGAAGATTGTTAGTTCAAAATAGTTGCGAAGTTGAAAAATAATCATAAATCTGTAGACTAATTGGATTCCACAAAATGAAAATCTCTTACAATTTTCAGTTTTCATTTATCAATTATAGTTTGCAAATGACAACAAATTTTACCTGAGAAAGTGTACTAAATACTTGCATCTAAATGAACACATCACAAGAAAGAACTGGTAATATGCAAAGCCTAAGTACCTAAGGGGACATCCATAAATTACATGAGGCCTTGGGGAGGGGGGTCAAGAGATTCTCACCTAATCTTACACAGGGGAGAGGGGAGGGTCTCAGAAAATATCACCCCCCACACACACACACACTAAAACAGTGCTAAATTGTGAGAAAATGGAGACAAGTGAAGTAAAACACGTTTCTATACTAAAATATGGCTAAATCTTGCACAATAATTTTTATTGTAGTCAAGTGAATGCTACAATAATTAGTATAGTGAATGCTACAATAGTAATATAGTGACTGCTACAATAGTAGCAGCTTTTAGAAGCTGCTATAATGCTTTTAGAAGTGCAATAATATTCATTGTAATTCAATAACTCTATTTTCTAATTACTAGTCATACCTATTTTTAAATAAATATTATTAAGCAAATTATGTTTTTTAAATAAATGGCAAAGCAAATAATCACAAATTAATGTATTTACATTAAGAATATGCATTTTGAAAAATCTCACATGAGATTAGAAGAGAGGGGAAGGGGTCAAACCAAATCTCATGACATCTCACGACAGGGGAGGGGGAGTCAAAAAATCACAAAATCGTCTCACATAATTTATGGACAGCCCCTAACAGGAGGGTAAGGGTTATTAATCACATTTTGGTCACTTTGTTCTATAAATGTTAACATTTGTGACATGATTACAATGCATGTTTTTACCTAAAAAGTTTTGCTAAACCTACAAGTAAAATAAATAAATAAAATGAACAGTAAGAAATGTCCTGTGAAAGTGAAATTTTATTAAATAAAATAAAGTTCAAATAATTCAGAATGTATATAATTTTTATGTATTTATCATAACCCAAGGCAATCCATATTTTGAATATAGTAATCAAGTAATACATGTAGGGATTATATCATTCTTTATGAAGAGGAATCATATTCCAGTTTCCATAGTTGTGATGTTACGAAATGACTTCAGAGACTGTTACTGTATTTTATATATCACAATACTGCTTCTAAACCCATAGTATTTACTTTCAAATATATTAGTAGCAAGGACCTTGAAAGCAAAGAGTTATTTTCAATCTGAAATTATTTTTTTTAATTAATATTTTAATACCTCATCATTGACTATTTAAGAAACCAACAGACAAAAATAATACTCCAAGAAAATTATTAGCAAGAAAAAACGATATATAATTGAAATCTAAAGAAATACTCTGTAGTTTCAAACAATCTCCCCTCTCTCTACTTTGGAAATCTGAGGTTAATGTAATTTTACAGACCACACAAGAGTAAAAATTAAGGTGAATATTTTGTTATGACATATAAACTTTTGAAACTCAATCTCTGCATAAAAAAATGATTCATTCTTGAAATTAATCATTACTTCAGATGCAGATCCAGTATTCATTGTGGTGCTCTCAAATAATAACAAAAAAAAAAACAAAAACAAAAAACAAAAAAAAAAAAAACAAACAAACAAAAAACAATCTTACAATTTTAAAGTAGTGAAATAAGAAGTGTATTCATATTACTTCACAAGAGAATAGTGCCAATAGATAATATTACCTTTAAAGACAGTATCCCAGCATGAGCAAGTACAGAAATTTCGATCAACACGCATGTGGAAAGTTTTCCAGAAATAATATAAGATGAAAATATGGATAGGTGGCGCCAAGATGGGTACCAATGCACCAAATATACGTGCAACAAGTCCCAAATAAGAAACTCTAAATCTATCTGAGGCCATGGCTCCACCTATGAGCATACACAGCATCTCAGTCTATATTAGCTGCCAAGCAACTGCAGAAAATCGAATTCACATTCATTAATAAAAAGAAAGGTTAGAATTTGTTACCAATTTATATAGGAAATTGTTTGGCTTTGAAAATATATTAGGTTTCAAGAATTAAATAAATGGTTATGATGATTGCAAATGAAATCAACAGTTTAGTTTTGTCTACAAGAACCATTTAGAGAAAAATTTTTGTAGATAATACACCTTCTGAAAAGAATGGAATGTACTTCTCAAAACAATATCATTATGTACCTATTCAATTCCAAAAAGAGTAGTAAATATTTTTTGTTCTTAATTCAAGCTACATGTCATATGAAAATAGTGTCTTAATACCAAAAATGATCCAATTCTTCTACCTGATTGTATTTCAACACTACATGATTTAACTCCAAAAAACATTAAAATATTGTTTCATAAACGAATTATTAAAAATTTAATCATTATTTTGAAGTATCTCAATTCTTTTTGAATCATTTTTCATTTCAAAATCCAACAACTTGACAACTTACTCAACCCCAAAATACTACTAAGATCATATTATTAATGATAATTGCAATCATAACAAAAACATTTTCAATACATTATCCATATTTTATTATTTTTCGTATATATTTTGTTAAATAACACAAACTCAGTATTAAAGATAATACCTCCCAATACATTACACAACACCATTGCAAATTCAGTCTGCTCTTAACCAAATCAACCACAAATTAACCATTAAAAAAAGAAAAAGAATACATTTCATTATTACAACTGAATATAGTTTCCCACATGATATGTTTACTCAAAAACTATTTATGGTTTATAAGCTGATAAAACCTAACCTCATGGAGTTCTTCACAATACGTGCTTCAATGAGATATTGTGATATTATGAACATCATATGCCGTTTAACCCTTGTTTGAAAAACTCAAAATAAAGAGTAAGATAATAAATAGCTGAGTTGTATCCAATTTCAAACTTTAAAAAATATATGGTTATGTTACATTCAAAGTAATTCAAATTGTATGTTACATGTAGAACTAATTCTTAAAAAATAATGTCAGTTTTAAAAAACATACTGAGTCAAAACAAGACATCCAAAAAGGGGGAATCCACAAATTCCATCTTGCTATATTAACATTTTTTAAGAGATTCAAGAGAACTAAATCAACGACTTCTATGATTTTGATACTTCACATTTTACTTCAAAATTATATGCACCATGTTAACAAATTCTCTTCTGATTACTTCGAAGCACAGAGTGGTTGTGAACCCAACACTTTGACCAAAGGCATCTCGCGTGTGAACTAATCTGAATTGTATACGCGTAACCTAGCAACTGCCTACGCGTATTCAGTGCTACCAAACACAGATCTGCGCAGTGCGACGCAGGGTCACCTACCTGACAGGGGCGAGAGCAGAACTGCTAGTGCTGGACCCTGGTGTGGGGTCACCCGTTGCCCCGCTTATGTAAGGCGTTCCGTGTCCTTTCTCAGGAGACGCTTAATTGAAGGCTGTTTTGTCTCATCAGTCTGAGCGCTCTCACATTACACTCTAGACAGCAATTGTCTGAAACGAAACAGTCTCCAACACGTTACTGAAGAATTCTCTAAAGTTACAAACCAGAAAATCGTCGTTTCCCAGTGAAGACACCTTCATTTCACTGCTAACGTGGGACAATGAGAGTAGGTGTAATAATAAAAAATAAAATAATAATTGTATGAATTATATATACAACTAAGGTTCTATTTATCTAACAAAAAATTCACACACTAAACATCAGAATACAAATGATGCTATGAAACAAAATTATTTCAACAGCACGTGCACCCCTGTTATTTAGTGAACTGTAGAAACACGATGGGATATTTTCAGTAGAGAATCTCTTCTCACAGTAACTTACCGTTTTTACATGAGTTAAATGTGATGTTTATTAGTCCACAAGGTTTAGACATAACTTGGTGAAATTTAAACTCAGTAGAAGTGACATACTCTAAATATAATACAAAATTAATACAAATGCAACAGTTGACGTTTTCTTTACGACTGACCGAAATGCTAATGAACTTCTCATACTTTCTTACCACCGCTCCCCTCCACCTCCTGATAACTGACACTAGAGGAAGGGGAATCTCTACATGACTTAACAAACCTGTTTTGCACACCTTATCAGCGACCGAGCTCGAGGCGCGGGGAAACCTGAGGAGGTCGAAGAGGGTACTTACTAGTCTTTTCGAAATAGAAAGCAGATAGCTCTTCCTGTCACTATCAAACGGCAGAAGGACAGCCCAGCAGCCTCGGCTCCGTTATTAGTGGTCGAGAAGGTACCAGCTAATTGGGCTTGTTCGATCTTGAGAGGACGAGGGTCGTAAGTCGCAACACTCATCCCACCCTTGTTGTACCACTTCAGGCCCTCTTTCCCAAGCGAGTGATAAGGGAAGTGATAAGTACTCTGAATCAGCCCTCATCCAAGTTTCGACGCAGGCTGTTGGTTCTTCGACAGTGTGCAGCCCAAGAGCATTTCGCGTATCCGGGGTCAACTTGAAGGCTTCGTAAAAGTAAGGCTAGCCTTCGTCTCATTAAATTTCTTCGCATGTACTCGAATCAATGTGAGCAGAGTGCGATCACGATGCTGTTTTAGGCCCTCAGCAAGATAATGAGTGCAAATAAAAGAACAAGCCACACATTTTTTTTAAAAATCTTGTGAAAGCTATTTGATGAGTAATGTGAGTGATATATTTGAGCAACCTTACACTAGGTTAGTTTTTGACAATATTTATAATAATCGTGCAATTTTGAGTGAAGTATGGACAATATTAAAAATAATATTTTCTCAAAAACTGCTTTAATTTTTTATTGAAACTCTTTGAACGGATGGTGTTAATCCACGAAATAACACGACCAAATCCATTTTGATTTAGGCTCAAAACTGAGTATTGAGTATTTTCTGTAGTACTGAAAAGATGTTTCCTCAAAATTTTTCAATGACAATTTGTATGTATACGCAGGTTTTACTCTTTTATAATATTCTTAAAGTCAAATATTCCATTTTACTAATACAAAAGTGAAAAATTGAAAAAATGTGAAAACTAGTGATGTTACAACAGCAAATAATTTATCGCATTTTATTACTTTTGCAGTTTTAGAATATTCAGAGATTTAAACGAAAATAATTATTTTGCAATTTTTTAAACGTCTTTAACGCTATCCGAGGACAAAATTTAATTTAAAAAATTGAAACATTATTTGAGAAAATTTTGACAATGTGGCTGTGGTTTCATCTACAGTATCTCCCAAAATCAAGATATCGATATTAAACTCACAGAGCCGTGAGTTCGTTCAAATCGATTGGATTACTGTCGGATCCAGAGGGGGCCTTGGTCCCCTCACACGGCCTTGAGTTTTCGTTTGTTACCTTCCTTTATTTGGCAAAATAGTCTTAAATATTTATGTTAGAATTATGTAATTATTTAAAACTAATATTGTATTCACTACAAAAATAATATTTAATATAACAACAAATGTTTATTATTTAACAACAATCTTTGATGTCCCAAAAATGTATGATGGGCAGATTTAAACACGAAAATAGGAATAATAATGAATTTGTAATTGAGGAGCAGGATATACTAAAAGATCAAAGTATGCAATAATAAAAACATGTTGGGGAATTCAGAATTTATTGATGGAAAAAAATCAGTAAGCTCCTGTATAATAGTAAAAGAATATATTTTACCTGTTAATTACCATATAACGGAACAATATTGTCAGAACACATGACAACGCTGGGTTTTATGGTTGTAAACTCTCAACAAAATAGAAATTGCAACACAACAAGAACCAAATTCTACGAGAACTTTCTGGATTTTTGAGGCTGCAACTGACAGCTGTTAATAAAGATTGCTGTAAAAAGGACGTTGCGAAGACGAAATATGCCGGCCTTGGTGCACTGGGTGGCTGGTGGCGGAGGCGAGGTCTTTGAAGTTGTCTCCAGAGGCCTCAGTCCTGAGCAGCAAGCGGAGCGGCGTATGGAAGCTCCGCAGAACCGCATCGACTCCTGGGATGACCTGCGTTGCATACAGAGCAGCACTCAACTCGCTTTGCTAGACACTAGTGTTTGAAGCACTGCGACAAAGACAATGTCCGTTTATAAAAAGAGATCATTTATTTAAAAGCGGTGAAATAAAAAACCTCTGCAATATTTAGAATTTTTCTTCACTCCTTTCATTAGTGTTGCCAAGTAACACTTAATTTTAAAATATATTCGTTTGTAAATTTAAAATCAATTACTACTTGTGCAAGTGTGTAATATTGTGCAAATGACAGATTATTTATCACACTGAACCGGTCTCCTAGGTTTCAGATTACTGTTAAATTTCAAGGGTGGAAAAATAACAGTTCATATTTGTTTTGTTCGTACAGACATTTGAAAATTGTTCTGGACCCCATGACTGTTTTAAAGATAAAGATGATAGTGTCATCGACTATAGTATCGATAAATAATAGGGTGGAAGTCATGACAAGTAAAATATTTGAATATGAGGAGAAGGAGGAACAGAAGGAAAAGGAGGAGGAAAAAATGAGAAGGAGGACAGAAAAGGGGAAAATAAAAGAATAGAAAAGAAAAGGGAAAAGAAGAAAGAACTATTGAATTAGCAATATACTGCGTATTCTGGTTTTCACTAATCGAATCATGTAAAGTACATATTCTTATTTCTCATTTATACAATCCCGGTACAATCGGATCCCGAAAGATGGTTTAAATTAGAATTAGACTAGCTGAGCACTTATGATCACATCGAACTAAAAGAAGATCTGTAGAAAAGTTATAAAAAAGCTCTACGTATTCACTCTATGGAAAATTAAAAACTCCCAAAACATTGCTTCGTGTCGATCAGTATTTGTTGTCAAAAACTAATGTAATAAGGGAGGCTTTCAAAGTGTGTGTTAATACATTCACTATGAGCAAGTTGAAAATATTTCTGAAATTGTAATTTAAATGTTTCACATTTACAATATCTGTACAAGTACACAGTGCGCCAGGAAAGTTTCTCTATTGAGACTCCGTGCTGACGAGAGTACTATCAACAAAAGTGATGTTGGTATCACGAGCAGTTGGCATCACCGTCCCTGGGTGGCGTAGAAGCAGCGGGGCAAGCGGTTGCGATCATGGCACACATGCAACACTAGCGCCCCCTACGGCGGCGATTTTTTTTATTTTGGTACAAAATTAGTGCGTAATTAGTAAATTATTTTAGGCTAGTTGATTTTGAATTTATGAGACGTGGGGGTGCCCACTTGTCGTCAAACTACCACCCCCACTTTTGGATGTGTTTTTATTGTTTATAGTTGAGTACAAAATTTGTTATTGTGGTTCAAAATTAGCACATAATTAGTACAAAATTATAGGCTAGTTGATTTTGAATTTCGAGCAAGTGGGGGTTGCAGCTTGATGGAGGCGGCGGCGAAGCCCAGGACCGAAGTGACGGCAAAGCAGAGAGACTTCTCTGGCGCGCTGTGGCCGGTATTACACTGTAAAATATATTTGACATATATCTTTGATGAAGAACTTCGTGGAAGTACTTTTGAACTTTGACGAATGAAACTTTAACAAAGGAATTTGATGAACGTTTTGCATGCCGTCCAATATTTTATGCATTTTATGTTTCGTCTAATATATAATGTTGTATATGTTTTGCTCGCGATTCTCGATGGATCAATCACAAATAGTTGTGTTGATGCTACTTTATGCTTAATAATAACTAATCTATGTTTAATCAACGCCACCTACATAGCGTTGGTTTAATGCTGAAGAAGTAACAGGTAAAGAGGACACGTTTGAGAGTGAGGCCATGGGTCGCACATTGTGAAGCATAAATTAAAGAACTTAGAAATGAATTATTTGAGGATTGATGAGGAATTATTCAATTATCTTTGTCGTTCTTCTTTCTTCTTTGGAAATTAGGTCCTCTGGTTTTGAAGTTAAAAAATTAACTTCATGGATTAGGAATTTCCAAACCCCACATTTTCAACTTCTCGGGAAAATATGTTATACGCGTCAATTCGTTTGGTTTTATTTTTGTAGTCCGGATGAACAGTATTATATAAACATTCTAATTGCTCATACTCTGCTATTAAAACTTTGGTTGATGCAATATCCCACGTATACCTGTCGAACGACATGTTATCAAAAGTATGATAAAACTTGGACGTTTGAGGCTACATTTTATCAAAGAAATTTTATAAAAGAAATATTTTATAAAATATTAGCTATTACTCAGTCATATCTTTTATTATAAAAGATCTTTGGACAAATATATTTTACAGTGTAATAATGACCATAGGCATGACAAAGATATCCTCCTGTAGACATTTACTTAAAAACCACGTATAATGATCACTACTTTTTTATCAATAGACACAAGTGTCACGGCGATTGCTGTATATTGCGATTGCATTTATAGCTTTCTTTTAATTAAAGAAAAATTCCTATTTTCACTGTTATGAACCTAGTACATGTTTCCAGTAACATGAAATGTCGACTACTTTCAATAGATAGATCACATCTCACGAATGAAATAATGAGCAAATGCTGCCAGACAAGCGAAGATTCTATTAATTTTTCGATTAAAAAAACATTAGTGTTTGTTTCACAAAACCAGTGAATATTAAGCAAGCGACATCATCTCCAGCCTACAACATTTTCGTTCGAAAACGCTTAGTGTTTTGTGCGTACAAGGAGCGTGGAGTGGTACCTCGCCAGTGTCAAGGCATGTTGCGCAGCACGGCCATGACGGGGAGCAGGCGCGGCGCCAGCGCCCCCGGCAGGGCGGGCAGCGAGAAGCGCCTGCTACGGCGGCGGAACAGCGGGCTGGTGACCGGGGGCGCGCCGTGGCCGGCGGCGGGGGCGGCAGCGGGGGCAGG